CTGGCATGTTGTTGACTTTTCTTCTGACATATTCCTTGCACAATTGTCTCTTGGAAAGTCCCTGATATATTGCGTACATAATTTCTACAATCTTGGTAACGCTTATTGGGTATAATTTGATAAACTTTAATTGGAAAAAATGGCAAAACCACATGCTGAACAATTGCATGCTCACAATTGATAATTTTTTGAGTTTCTGATCCAAGAAAAACAAATCCCTTTTTCCTTTATGGTTAGTTGTTGCAATCAGGAGCTCCGCTTTTAGGCTTGGCTAAATTTATATTATAATATTATTAATAAAAGAAATCTCACGGAATTTAACTCAAGATGCACTCTTTTCCACCAATTCCTGCTGGAATGCGTTGCTGAAGTACAGAAGTTTGTGAGTATTTTTTCATGCACTAATGCCAAACACAATTCAACACTTCTTAGGCTCAGAATTTGATGTTCTACATAGAGGATTGAATAAAAGCTACAAAATTGTCATCGCATGAAACCTTTTTTCAATATGCAACTGAAACCAACAGTGCATGAAACAACCTGAGAGAAAGCAATTTCAACACGCACTGGGATCGATGGTAAATGGGATTCTACAGGTAGTCTATCACAGGTCACTTTTTTATGGTCCCTAAGAATTTGGCAGTACTTATTTATGCACACAGGGGGAAGGAGGTAATAATTATGTCAATAAGTATCCTGCCTAGAACACTCAATAGTAACACTTATGCTACAAATTTTGACCTCCAGTAAGGGAATTGCTTACATTTTGCTGTTTAACATACAGTGTAGAGAGGGCATTATGCAATGTATGTATTGACTCTAAACATTTATAGAGCCCATGAAACTTTAAAACATTATTTCTGAGTTTATGCGCTAAACATACCTCTGGGTCCATGCTGGATGAGTCTGTTACCTCTTCCTGAATTGCAAAAAATGAAGAAATTAAACCCATCAACAACTATGTTCAAACAATGTTCATTTTAATGCAAGAGAGAAGTGTGAAAAATCCTCAAAGAATAGATCAGTTGCATAGAGGATGGTAAAGGGTATTTTCATGATTTGTGAATGCCCTAATTTGTTCCAGTGAAATGTTAAATGGCTAGTTATTTTTCTCAAGAATCGTGATTTTGTTAGCTGCATTGAGCCATGATTGTTTAAAATAATTTTCTGATGTGTGAAATTAGAAATAAACATGAACCCTTATTTTGATTACTGGTATGTTTTCTATTATTTTTGACACCCATAATTTCACAATAAACATAGCATAAGAAGCCAATTGATCTGTTTGATCCATTTGCATTGGTCTTCAATGGAACACAGTTTTATTTTTGGTGCTCATGGAAAAAAAGGAGCAGAGGAATGGTGAAGATGTCAAAAAAGGTTGTGCTTTGGACACTTTAACAATCATGTACAACAATCAACACAACAATCTCATTAATTTAGTCAGTTTGTATGAAAAGTATAAAGTTCCCCTTTTCCATAATACATTTGTTAATTTCCTGTGAATTGTGAAAGGAGCTGTTTATTTTTGATGATCTAGACCCCCATCTCTACACTTTTAGTACATGAAAAACATTATAAAAATAAATTGAGCAAATTTAACTGGATTACTATGTATGGCTGAATGAGATTGTTATTGACAAGTTAAATAATTTTGGGCATGTTCAATTCATAGTGGTCTGCAACTTTTGGTACAGTGCACAAATTAAACAATCTGTTGTATGCTGTACTTCAACTAGCATACAGTACAATTACTTGGCTGTTACTTCACACCCTTTGAAACCTTGTTGGCTCATTCCATAGCATCAGCTATGTGTTGTCATTTTCCCTTCCCTTTTCCTGCTCATGTAACTCATGCTTGGGCCATAAAACAGGAGGAGAACTCAGTTTCTGACTTATGGTATGGACCTTGTACAACTACCCTATTTTTCAGTTATAAGGTGCACTTAGTTATAAGATGCACTTTTAAACATAATTGTGTCAAGTTTACAGACTGAAAATTACTCCTAAATACTCAGTTATAAGATGCAACCTGAATTGCAGGAATTTTTTTGACCAGACATAATTTATGTATCCAGAATAATTATAATATCTAGAATACACATACAGGAGATGCATATAGATTGCTGGTCTGCCTGTGTGAACTGTATGGCGGCTCTGTAGCTGTTGTACTGTAGGGGGATGATTTAATACTGGGACTGGCTCGCATCTGAAAACAGATAAATTCATACTGTATTAAGTAAAGTTGCATCTTTAAAGCACTTGTTGAGGAAAACCACTTAAAATTTAACAAATAAAGAAGCCTCGACTGTGCTCTGTCCTGTTGTAAAGCATGCAGGAAGCAGTAGAGCACAAAAGAAGCATAGGGGAAAACATGAGACGTAGTCAAGTGTTTTTCCCTACTTCTTGAGTGCTCTACGGCTTCCTAAGTGCTTTACAACAGAACAGAGCACAGTCAAGG